TTTTTTTTTTTTTTTTTTTTTTTTTTTTTGCCTCTCTGTGGAATTTAAATTCTATACTGAGGAAAAAATATTCTACCACTGGCTATATCCACTGCCCTGTGAAAGTTTTTACTTACATATACACACATGGACATGTAAATAATATGTACTTGTATAAAGTACACTCATGCATATATAATTTTAAAATATATTTTCTTATTACAAAATTGTTAGAATGTTAGAAAGTATTTAACTTTCAAAAGACTGTTTATAAGTCCATTTTTGTGTATGTCCGAAGTCTTGCGATATGTAAGATTAATGTAAATACATCTGTGTAAAGTTAAATTTCACTTTTGTTCTAGAAAAATTGCATACCTCTAGTTATTAACCTTTTAAAGGCTGCTTTTGAACTTCTTGAAAATTATGGCGTTAACAATGTGCCTAAAACAAACAAAATATAAATGTACTTAATGGTGCAGAATGCTCCCAACAATCCCTGTAACCCATATGGGAGATAATGAGATGAGAAGAATAGGGTATTCATTTGCTTTTAATATCCTTAGTATTGTTGCTGTATCTCTTGGGCTGAGACCAGCTAAAATCGCACACTGATGCCCTAAATCTTTTTCTCTTTGTAGAGCTGTCAAGACTGTGTTTCCAAGCAAGAGAAGCCTCATCATAACTCGGTCTACCTTTGCGGGATCTGGCAAGTTTGCAGCCCATTGGTTAGGAGACAATGCAGCCACCTGGAACGACCTTCAGTGGTCCATCACTGGCATGCTTGAGTTCAACCTTTTTGGTATCCCAATGGTGAGTCCCTGACTTGACCTCTTATGCATATCAATCCTTAGAAAGTCTCATTTGAACAAGTTTTGAAACCATAAAGACTAGGGATTTAATGTCTAGAGAGCTTGTACTTCAACATTAATAAGGCTCTGATGCTGTGATAGCCTTTCCTGTATTGTCTTGTGAAGACAGAAAGAGAAATGTTGATATCTCTGGAATATTTCTTTGTATGAAAGTATACAAACATACAGAAAAGTGCATAGGTCCTTAATTTATAGTAGATGAATGTCATACACAGAAAACATCTGTGTATCTAGCACCCAGACGAAGGAAGATAACATTTGCCAGCACTTGAGAGGCCTTAGCATCTTTTAGTTAAATTTAACATATTAGGGCCAGGGATTTAGCTCAGTGGTTCCGCTGCTTGCCTTGCAAGCACAAGGACCCAAGTTTGACCCCCATACCAAATAAAAACATTAAAAAATAAATTCAACATAATATATTTATTGAGTTTCTACTGTGTCCAAGGTGCTGAACTGAGTAAGCATGGTGAAAAGTATAAACACAGAAACAGTCACACTTTTAATTTCACAGAAGAATTTACAGTTTAGTAAAAGGAGACATATATGTCAACAAATGCTGATGAAAAACTATAGCAAAGGGCCAGTAATAATGTATGTGTTAACTGTTAGGGGAGATCCTGAGAAAAAAATTAACTCTGATAAGATTATGAGGAATAGAGCGAATCAGGAGAAACTTCATAGAAAAGAAGCTGCTTGAGTTTAAATTAACAATGTGGGGAGAAGCACACTTTCAGGTTGAGGAAGAAATGCCAGCACAAACAGTATGAGGTGGAGTACTTGATGTGTCTGGAAGGATTGGTGTATGGCATTGAAAAGGGAATGATGCTGAAAAGGTTAGACTGGAAGCAGATTTTTGAAGAGTTAGTAGAATAAGCAGCAAGAATATTCTGGAGAGTTTTATATAGATGAGTGACATGATGAGAGTTCAACTCTAGAAAGTAACTCTGTTACTGGTGTAATAAAATAATAACATCAGCACTTTATCAGTTACTGTGCATCAAAAAGCTATTGTACTCACTTTCACAGAATAAGGAAACAGGCATAGAAAGGTTGAATAACTCACCCAGTCATCTAACAGTAAAACGTGGGCATGGGTTATTACCCAGTTCTGATCACATGGTATGAGCTTTCTCAGTTAGAGGTGTTAGCAGAGTTCATTTGGACAGTCCATGGTAGAAAGCAAAGGAGCATGGTGGAAGTGAGGTGTACATGCTGTCTGTATGCCTTTGCAGGTGGGTGCAGACATCTGTGGCTTCTCGTTGGATACCTCGGAGGAGCTCTGCAGGCGGTGGATGCAGCTGGGAGCATTTTATCCGTTTTCCAGAAATCATAATGACAAAGGCTTCAAGGTAAGGCTCCCAGAAAAGCTAATCAAAATAAATTTGATTTGTTAAGATATGTTAAGATGGAGCTGACTTCATCCTTGCCAAGAAATCTGAGCCCTTCCACTTACACTATACTTCACTTATACTAATTTGAAATTACCTAGGACCAGTGTTGTATCATAAAAACTCCATTGTCACAGCTTCTCATTAGGAAATGCCAAGTCTGTGAAAATTTTCTACTTGTACACTTTTTCTATATTGTTCACTTTACAATGAGAGGCAAATGAGGAAATATTTCAAAATTATTTAAATGGCAGTCTCCCAACAAGAGCAATTCTAAAGTATGAGTGATACAAGATGAGTGGCAGGCTGCAATGACCACGTGGTTGGGGAAAGAGTCCCCCTTTGCTCAGCTATGCACTTAGAAGCAAAGATTGTAGACTCTGTCACAGCCTAGTCAGGAAGAAAAATTCTTGGTTGTGATGAATGGGGTCTGAAATTCTCTGGGTGCCTCTGATATCCTATAACCAACTCACAGTTGCAAACTTATTTCCTTCAAGGACCAAGACCCTGCCTTCTTTGGAGCTGACTCCTTGCTGTTGAATTCCTCCAGGCACTACCTTAACATCCGCTATGCTCTATTGCCTTACCTCTACACGCTCTTCTACCATGCTCATAGCCGGGGGGACACAGTGGCCAGGCCACTTCTGCATGAGTAAGTCTCTCTACCCCACATAATTTTGTTAATACAACTTCAGTGACATTGACCACATCATAGAAATGTCAAAGTGAAAATCAGAAAAATTCAAGCAAGTGTGTGTTTGTGTGTGTGTTCAGAGCTTTAATTGAGTTTATTGGTACATTTTAGGGATACAGTACAGTTACATTCATTGTTGGCATCTTGTACCTCTACATGAGAAGTCTTGATTCTCATTTTTTCCCCTAACCCCTGCCCTCCCTTCAGTTCCTCCTCCCCTCCCCATCTACAAACACTTTATTTGCATCTTTTCATTATCTCACATTTTTTTCTTTTCCCTTATTACCCTTCCCCTACTTGGTACATTTTAGGGATACAGTACAGTTACATTCATTGTTGGCATCTTGTACCTCTACATGAGAAGTCTTGATTCTCATTTTTTCCCCTAACCCCTGCCCTCCCTTCAGTTCCTCCTCCCCTCCCCATCTACAAACACTTTATTTGCATCTTTTCATTATCTCACATTTTTTTCTTTTCCCTTATTACCCTTCCCCTACCCATCTCACCTTTCCTACACCTTTAGCTCTTTCTTCCCATTTCTAAATGTCAGTAATCTTATTTGAAGGGTGTATATTTAAACATTATAACCTATTCCATTTTGAGAAGAGAACTAGACTTAAAAATTGTGGGACTCACAACCTTTTCTTTGTTCTGCCACCAACTAATTCTGTATCTTAGAAAGTTCATTTAAGCTCCTTCATCCTGAGTTTTGTTAGTTTTTTTTGGAGACAGGGTCTCACTCTGTAGTTCAGACTGCTCTGGAACTCACTCTGTAGCTCAGGCTGGTCTTGAACTCACAGCACTCCTCCTGCCTCAGCCTCCCGAGTGCTGGGATTACAGGTGTGCACCACCATGCCCAGCTGTTAGTGTTTTTCCTTTTTCTCATAGTTCTGGGAATGGAAACCAGTTCCCTGTGCATGACAGGTAAATGTTCTATCATTGAGCTGTACCCCAAATTCTTTTTAGTCTTAATTTAAAAGATTTGGTGACTTGATTCTGCCAGTCTCTCCTGTAATGCACTGTGATGCTAGGACTCATATAGGAATGAACCTATAATTTGCAAGCAAATAAAAATATTATACGGAATCTGTAGAATTTCATAATTCTTACATACATGCCTGCCAGTGGGCATCTCAGATTTCACTCTGCAAGTGGGTACTTATAAACCCTTTTTTGTCAAAATACAGTCCATTGTGTGTGTGATAGACAAGGTCTTCAGGAACACTACTGTATATTCATTTTTGGAATAAGTTTTTGTCATCTCCTGGAATTTTCTTTTTAAAAGCAGATAGCTTGAAATTTTCATTATTTATTATTTTTTGTAGTAAGATCCAGTTTCTTCTTGGTAGTCAGCTGGAGGTCCAATATATATTGGTTATCTTATTTTTAAAAAGAGGAATATGCTTAGAATTACAGCCTGGAATCTGCTTGTAACACATGCATAGGGACCTCGGTCCAACCTGAGGGAAGAATAGGAGGGTACAGGGGTTGGGAAGAGTAGATCTGTCTGGGGTGGGGAGAGGTGAGAGAGAATAGATGTCACCGAGTAACCTTGGGGGTTTGCCGTGGTAGCCTGCAGGCTTTGGAGAGTTTCGGGGAAGAGCTGGTAGTAGTACTGGCCCATTTTTCGGTGACTCTCTTTGGTTCTAGATTCTATGGAGACAACAACACTTGGGGTGTGCACCGACAATTTCTGTGGGGGCCGGGCCTCCTCATCACTCCAGTTCTGGAAGAGGCAAGTGTTCTTGCGGAGACTGATGGTCCCTGCTTTTGTTCCTATGCTCTCTCCATCCCAAACCCTGCTCTTTTCTCTTTTTTCCAAATCTATTTCCAACATCTGTGGCTCAGTCATCGCTGAAGAGAAGGTGCATGGGTTTTGGAAAATATTGTATCTGATATACATTATCCTATCTAGAAATCTTTTATTTCTTGGCCAAATTTCTGCCAATGTAGAAACATCTACTGACAACTATAGATTCAGGATTAGTCTGATGTGTTGTCAGATAGTCATAGCAGAGCACTGCTTTCTCTTTGATGTAGCAGCAGGATGCAGCATGGACCAGCACTTACTCTAAAGTCAAACTGATCAGGATGTGATTGTTTTCTCCACTACTTAATGACCTGTGTGATCTGGAGCAAGTTAGTGTGCTGGCTTCTCATCTGCAACAAAGGAATAATTACAGTACCAACCGTTTGGCGCTATAGGGAAGATTAAGTGAGATAATGTATCAAAACCTGAATGCTTTCCACATTACTTGTTTCATTATTATTACTCTGCTTAATGTCTCATTTGGGATTTTTTTCCCTGAAATGCCAAGCTATTATCAGATATTATCAGATATTATCAGATATTATTCCCTGAAATGCCAGATATTATTTATTATCTGTACATGAGGAAAGGCAGAAGAAAGTAATGATTCAATAATAGAGAAAAGAAAGGCCATGTCTGCCCTTTAAATATAGTTAGGAATTTCCCTAAGGATTGCTAGGAAATCCATTTCAATCCCTTAGAGACTGAGTCATAAAAGACAATATTTTGTTTTAATTTTAGGGTGCAGAGAAAGTGACAGCATATGTTCCTGATGCTATCTGGTATGACTATGAGACTGTAAGTAGCTTGGATTTTCTTCAGCTCCTTTATTATTATTTTTTTTATTTTTTGGTTTTTTGAGACAGGATCTTACTCTGTAGTTGAGACTGACCTGGAACTCACTATGTAGCTCAAGATGGTCTTGAACTCACAGTGATCCTCCTACCTCAGCCTCCCGAGTGCTGGGAGTACAGGCGTGCACCATCACGCCCAGTTTTCTTCAGTTCCTTTAGACCACACATACAGCTTAATAGACAGTTGTTTCCTGGAGAGAGAAACAACTACACCTTCACAGTAGAGCTGGATAAAAGGAGCCTAAGGCACTTAATATCAGTCACAATAATAATAATGCACTTATATTTTATTCAATAATTTGATAAAGACGAATGATATGAGCAAATATTTGAGGGGCTCATGGGCAATCTGAGATTGTTTAGGAATTAGATTATTTATTCAAAATCAGTTCATATAATCTATCTTAGTCACTTTCTTGTCACTAGGACAAAATACTTGACATCCACAAGTTAAAGGGAGACAGACTAATTTTGGCTCACAGCTTCAGTCTGTGGTGGTCTGGCTCCAAGGCAGAAGCTGTATGGTGGAGGGCCATGGTCCAAGAAAGCTCTTCAACCATGGCAGCCAGGAAGGAAAGAGAGAGAAGGGAGAGGAGCCAGGGACAAGAACCTGCCAGGTCATACTACAGTAAGTGGCCTCTAACTAGATCCTTGCTCCTAATAGCACATTCAGGTAATGCACTCATCAGTGAATGAATCCATTGATGAGGATAGCACCTCATGATCTAGTCACTTTCCAAACACATCAAACTTTTAGGGGGCTTTTAGAGCTAAACCATAACAATTCCAAACAGTCACACCATGACATAAACATTCTCACAAACTCTCCGCTGACCATAACATGTTCCTAGTTTTTTTCTTCTCTTGTTTGATTGCTTGAGTAGACAGTAATGCAGCTAAGTGGAAAGGGGAGTACAATAGATAACTCAGCACATGAGTGACCAGAACAGGTGCATGTGCTGCCAGGCCAGTGTGTTTGATTTATTTGCCTTCATCAGGGAGGCCAATTGGAATGGAGAAAGCGAAGCATTGAGATGGAACTTCCTGGAGACAAAATTGGACTTCATTTACGAGGAGGCTACATCTTTCCCACGCAACAGCCAAGTACAACCACTATGGCCAGGTACAGCATGGATAGGAGTGTCTTTTAAGATAGAGGGTGCAAAAATTGTCATTTCTGTCCCTCTCTGTTGACCAGCAGTTACAGAAAAACCCCATGTGGAACTCCACAGGGCTGCTGGCATGTGTGTGTGTGTGTGTGTGTGTGTGTGTGTGTGTGTGCGCGCGCATATGCATGCACGTGTGTTGGCAGGTGGTCATTAGACTCTCTCCTTGGATTTTCCTCAGCCTCTTCTCAAGAGACTGTTGGTCTAGTGCTACACCTAGGTGGATTTTGAGAGACCTTCATCATCCCAGGGCTTCCTCAAACCCTCCAAATTTCTCAAAATGCACAGACAGCCAGGATAGTCGGCCTTTCTAGTTTGCCTGGGCCTGTTGCCATTTTAGTATTGAAATGCTGTATCTTGGAAAAACCCTCAATTCTGGCTACAGAGCCAAATTAGTCTCTTTGCATGCCTTGGCTGGGCCATCTACCCATAGTTCTGCATTCTTGTCTCAGACATTCTAGAGTTGGGATCCACTATCCGTCCTCCTGTAACCTCAACACTTCCTATTCCTTTTCTCATAATGAGATGTATCTTTCTTGTGATTCAAAGCCAGGTTAGAAAAACTACTTCTTGCAAACTTCAAGCCTCCCTCATGTTATTGATTTTTTAATTTTTATTTAATTGCAAAAATTGTAGGCTTCACCTGTACTAAAGAGGTGCACTTTTATATCTTTATGTCTCTGGAAGTATTAGCTCATTTGATTTTAATTGACTGGGAATTACTAGGAAGCTAGAAACCAGTCTTTTCTTTTGAACATCCTTTACTATCTTACATTTTCAAATTGTATACTTTTAACAAAAATATGCCTAAATCCAATATAAATTGGTTTCTTTTTTCTTTACCTGTTCAGCGTTAGGCTTTCTGCAAAGTGACACTACCAAAATTATCTTTCTAAAATGAAAATCTTAACTTGTTGCTTTCCTGCTTGAAGTGTGGACTCACTTATTACTGGGATGTTCAGGGTCAAGCACAATCAGATTCCAAGATGACCTTAACAACTCTCTCCTGCAATATATCAGCAAGCAAACAGATTAGCCATGAGAAAAATATTCTATTTACCAAAAAGGCCCTTTGACTTTACTGTATTTGGATCACATATCCATTACCCTTTCCAAAAAGATTAGGGGCCTCTAACTTGCTGGGAAAGCATTTTATCACTGAGCTGCACTCCAGCCCCTGTGCGTACCTAATACAAGTGAAACATGGATTTATCTGCAAGATGTCTTCTTACATTCTTCCAGTAGAGGAAGTGCCACTACTTCTAGTATCTGGTCATTTAAAAATACATATTTGCTCCTTAGAAGACTTTCATGTTCTTTTTGTTATTATTAAATATAGCACTGTTACTTCATGCTCTAAGTCTGAATATTCTATTACTTGAAGTTCTTAGGAGAACATTAATCTATAGTTATTTCTGCTTTTGTTGATGCTTCTTACCTTATTTGATGTTTTGTTCTTCAAATGTGGTGATCTTAAGGGCCCACGTATGGTCTCCAGAGGTGATTTCCTTCCCTTTGGTTGCAAACCAGTGACTGCTTCCTACTCAGTATCATGTTTAGTCCCTTCAAAGACTCTGGCTTCACACAGGCATTGGAGGTTCAGGCACTCTATGTTTGATTACCAGGTTTAGTGGCCCACTTATAGCTACTATAGACCTGTTTCAGGTAAATTTCTTGTGACATTACTGAGAGAAGAGAAATAAGTTCCTGCCAATATTTGCTTTCTGCCTGAAATAAAGCACAGTCACTGTCGGGTACTTACTTGTCTTATTTGAAATTTGATGGAAAGATGGGGCAAAAATTTTGAAGCCCTTTTTGTCCCTTAAACAAATCTTTTTTCCCACAGTCGGCGGAATCCTCTGGGTCTCATCATTGCCTTGGATGAGAACAAAGAAGCCAAAGGAGAGCTCTTTTGGGATGATGGGGAATCCAAAGGTGAGTATTGTATTGGGAGGGGTGCTGTTCGAAACTTGCATATTTGACTTGTGGCCCTTCACTCCTGCTGGTCCTTTGACGGTGTGAGAAGTCTCCCTGCACACAGAGTAAAAGTCAGCTTTGTTCTGTTTGCTGCATTCAGGAGCAGTGAAAGATGAACCACGGTTGTAAGGAAAACTTATTTCTACTTCTCAGATCTCCCTTTGGCCATTGATCTATAACAGGCTCTTATTTTATTGTCAGTGATACCAGCAACACAATTTTTCAAGAATGTCTAAATTTGGGCCAGGGATTTAGCTCAATGGTTCCACTGCCTGCCTTGCAGGCTCAAGGACCCGAGTTTGATCCCTAGTACCCCCCGCCGCAAAAGAATGTCTAAACTCATTCATCTGTTATATAAATATCTTCACTCAAAAGAAGTCAAGGAAATTATCCTTCTCTATTGCACATACATCTAGCCAGTCTTTTAGCAGTGTTGAAGATTAATTATAATAATGATTATTGTGATTGCAGCTTAAAAAATAGATTTCCTTGAGCAATGTGACTCAAAAATACTTGAGAAGGAATGTTTTCTAGGTTGCAGTAGGAAAAAAGGAAAAACCAGAGACCAAAAATTCTAGGAGGAGAAAATACAGGAAAGAAGTTCTTTGATATTGGACATGGCAGTGTGTTTTTGAATTTGATATCAAAAGCAGAGGCAAGAAAAGCAAAACATAACAAATGACACTACTGTGATATAAAAAGCTTCTGCATTACAAAAGAAACAGTCAATAGTGAAAAGGGAACATACTGTACTGGAAAAAATATGCACAAACCATAGCATAAATAAAATATCTACTGGAGGGGGCTAAAAAAAAACATATATAAGGAACTCTTAAAACTCAATAATGAAAAAAATAAGTGACCTGATTTTAAAATGGGCAAAGAACTGGAATAGATATTTTTCTAGTGAATACATACAACTGGCTAACAGGCACTTAAAAAGGTGCTGAATATCACTAAACAGCAGAGAAGTGCAAATCAAAATTTATAAAATTTACACCTCCCACCTCTTAGGGTAGCTACAATGAAAATGATAAGATTGCAATTGTAGGCAAGTATGTTGAGAAAATCGATGAACTTTTGTACACTACTGGTGAAAGTATAAATATATAAAACCATTATACCAAATGGTATAATATTTTGAGGATCCTTGAAATATTGAAAATGAACTGCTTACTGTATATGATTTAATAATCCCATTTCTGAGTTTACATCCAAAAGAAATGAAATCAGTATGTTAGAGAGATATGTGTGCTCCCATGTTTACTGCAGCATTATTCACAAAAGCCAAGATACTAAATCAAACTAATAAATGGGTAAAGATGTTGTGGTAAATATATACAATTAAATATCATTTAGTTGCATAAAGAAGGAAATATTTTCATTTGTGTTATCAAGCGTATCTTTTGAGGAGAGGTAACTGAGATTTATTCTGTGATGGACAGGCCAGTCTAACTTGTCTTTCTTTTAATTTCAGACACCTTCCTCAATAAAATTTACCTTTTATGTGAGTTTTCTGTCACCCAAGTGAGTAGCAAGCTTCTGTGAATCTTAGGAATGGGCACTTTACTATTAGCACATATGGGTTGTGTGTGTAATTATGTTTGTAATTTCATTTGTAGTAAGAACACATTTCCAGTTATGATTTATCTCCCAATGATTGCATCATTTGTGTTATTAAGAGATGACAATAATGAAAAAAAAGCAATGTTTCAAATATAATTTTCTAAATTGTCCCTCTCTGTATGTATGTTCCTGATGTTTTTTCTTAGAGTATTTTTTTTTTTTCTTGGTACCATGGATCGAACTCGGGTCCTTGCGCTTGCAAGGCAGGCCACCAAACCACTGAGCTAAATCCCCGGCCCTCTTAGAGTATTTTTTTTTTTTCTTGGTACCATGGATCGAACTCGGGTCCTTGCGCTTGCAAGGCAGGCCACCAAACCACTGAGCTAAATCCCCGGCCCTCTTAGAGTATTTTTAAAATAACCTTTTATTCCTGAAGCACACATTAGTAGAGCACTGGGGAGGATTTGGTGTCACCTGTAGCATTTGAGTGATTAGAGAATCTGTGGGTTACAGGCAAACCTTTGTGTTTACTTGTTTTGCAGAACCACCTGGATGTGAAGATTTCTCAGTCAACCTACAAAGACCCCAATAACTTAGCATTTCAGGAGATTAAAATACTTGGGACACAAGAACCTGCCAATGTTACAGTGAAACAAAATGGTGTCCCAACTCAAGCTTCTCCTAAAGTCACGTATGATCCTAACCTGAAGGTAAAAGTCCATTTTGTTGAGTTTATTTTAGTATCCTTCCTAGCATTATGGTATTTCTTCCTACCAAGGCTGCATGGATTCTTGAAGAAACACAGAGCATTTCTTCTGTGGGAGAGTCAAAGGGGTGGGAAGAAAAATGAGAACGAGGAGATGCCAGAGCTAGACTGAGACAGGGAGCTGCTGAGGAATGGGATGAGGTAAAATGGTCTTTCCATGCTCACTGTCTCCTCTGTATCTCGGTGTTCTGCTGTCTTCACTTAAGAAATAGTTATGAAAGACAGAAGAAGAGGAGAGTGAAAGAAGTGGGGAATAGGATCAGAAGAAAAGGGGTCTGGGAATTTATGGGAGATACTGACAAATAAAGGTAGGGTGTAGAATTACATAAATTAGAATTTTGAAGGCCTTATGTTTTAATTGTATTAAGATACAGTATATAGATTCTACTTCTACCACATGCATTTTCAAGAAATACTTGAAAGACTTGAAAGAAGCATTTCATGATCCTACATAGTGGCTTCTTACTTGGTTAAATGATAATAATAAAATACATTTTCATCAGTTGTAATGAGGCCTGAAATTCTGATCAGTTTGTATTAAGTTCCTCTGGTACCTTAGTTGTGAAGAATCCTTTGCCTGTGTAATTTTAAGCAGAGGTACCCAGGTATTCCTTGCATTGGATCTGTACAGTCAGTGTGATTTGTGAGGGATCTTACAAATTTGGAAAAGCTAAGTCACTTTAGACTTCTATGACATATTAACAGCCATTGACATTTTGTCTTTTTTTTTTTTTTAACCAGGGATTAAACTCAGGACCTTGCTCTTGCAAGACAGGCACAGAGCCACTGAGATAAATCTCTGGCCCAACATTTTGTCTTGTCAACAAATATGTAGGATACATACATTATAAAGTTGGAAAAAAATGTGATATATACCTGGCCTTATACATGAAAAGCTATTTGAAGGATGCCTATTTAAATAAATGACTAATCCATGTTTGCCAAATAAATTGATTAACTTAAGAAAAAGAAAATCTTCTGATGGTTGAATTTGAGTGGTGGGAAGCATAATTAATACATATGTAGCTAGAGAATGAGAATTGAAACCCAACATAACTAGGAAATGTTAGCTTATGTCTTAAGTTCAAAGTTTAATGGGATAGTTGAACTAACCTTCTTGAAGAAGGTAGGGCTAGAAAGATGGTGTATCAGGTAGGGATTCACTAGCTACAAGTAATAAGATACCACAAATGTTAACAAATTGGGATAGCTTGCTTTCTACATTTATAAGATTAAAAGGCAGAAAATTGTGGGCATTGGTTCAGTGGATTAAGGTTGTCAGGATGGTCTTTTCTCCAAATTAATGGGAAGTGTCTGCTTAGATTTCACTTGATCTTAGCCAAAAGGCCAAGAAGCGATCTGCTTAGGTTTCAGTCACCATCCTGCTATTCTAGGATAAATTTTAATGAAAGAAAAATGAAGAAGAAAAAAAATAGGAAAAAGAAGGAATAAGTAAAAGTGAAGGTGCAGACTGTCACATCAAGAAAAAAAAAATAGGGCCAGCAAATTTCTGTGAACTTGAGGTCACCTTTCATGGCCAAAGTAATACTATATTCATTAAAAATTTAAGTATTAGTGGGAACTTTCATATTACAAAGTGAGTAAATAGTAAGAAGTAAATAGTAAATAGTAATAGTAAATAGTAAGGAGGAAGTATGTTATGTGAATTCCATTGTATTCCACAAATAGGCACCATTTGATTTACCTAGATAAAATATTCCCAATTGAGATATCAGAATATGCCAAATTAGGGCTGGGAATGGCTTTTCCTCTTCAGTCTGTGGATCTTGTATAACAAGCTAAGGTAGATTTACTTTGGAAAGGAGATCATTTTGGACAAGAGGAAATATGTAGTCAGATTTTGGAAGGTCTAAAGTGCCTCAAAAGATCTCTATGTACATGTACCAACTCCACACAAGAAATGTAAACATTAGATATGCTAAACATGTGCAAAAAAAAAAAACAAAATAGAAAGCAAGGAAATCAAGAAATGGGTGATGGGGGATTTATCTCAGTGGTTCTGCCACCTGCCTCACAAGTGCAAGGTCCCAAGTTCGATCCCTGGTACCAATGAATGAATGAATGAATAAACAAACAAACAAACAAATAAATAAAGCCTAACCTTGGCAGTAACACCCACCATTAAAAAATGGGTGGTGGGTGGGAAAAGGGACAGAGGTTCAAAAGAAGGAATTAAGATGTGTTATGTACTGTACCAACTTCCCACAAAGGATTAAACATTATGCGCAACACAGATGTACTAAAAATGAAATTTAAAAAAGATCTCATAAAGATCCTTGATACTAGGCTTTGTTGGAGGTAGAGTTGGAGGCTGGGGATTAGGAGGACAGGAAGGGCAAGATGATTTATCCTAGCAGGAGACAGGGAGAGAATGAGAAACCTTCATGTGTGATCTTACTACTCCACACACATGACAATGTTAACTCTAAAAAGTGCTATTTATGGAGAAGTCAAACAAAAGAACATGTAAAAAATGTGACATTTGAGTTGATGAGTGGGATTTAAAGAATTTCAGGTTTTAAACATCTAGATTTGGAAAAATGAAGAGGATAGGATGTTAGAAATGAAAGGAAATATGATTTTTTTTTCAGCTCCTAAATTTGCAGCTGATGAACTGAGACCCAAAAACTGAAACAATTTTCTAAGCGTCCAGGGAAAAATGAAAATTAGGACCTAAGCCATATAAATGTCTATTTTTTGTTGTTGTTGTTGTTTCATAAATCCAGACACATGGGGAACACTGGTTTAGGGAATAGAGGGAAAAAATGTAAATTAATCTGGGAGAGCAGAAGAGAGTCTTCCTGCCAAAATAAACAGGAGGAAGAGGAGTTAGGGAAAAAGGTGGTGATTGCAATAAGCGTTTTTTTTTTTATACCTAAGTCTTTCCACTTTATAATGTACGATATTCTGACAAAGTAATTATATTTGCCCTCTTACCACAGAATACTTCTGCTATTGCATATAAACTACAGGCATTTGTTATTTGTATTGTCGAGAATCTCAGCTGAGGTCTATTTGTTTTCCTACAATGTTTCAGATTTTGCAGGGCCTGTGTCTTCTGAGCCTAAATTTCCCTGTGACTCCTCCATTCCTACAGGTTGCTGTTATCTCAGAAATTAATCTTGTTCTGGGAGAAGCATACACAGTGGAGTGGAGCATAAAAATAAGGGATGAAGAAAAAATAGACTGTTACCCTGATGAGCATGGTATTTCTGAAGCAAACTGCATTGCCCGTGGCTGTGTCTGGGAGGTAAATGTGCTGATAGTTAATGTTCACTGAAATCCTCTCCTCTTCTATTTTATTCATTAAGTTTATTGGTACATTTTAGGTATACAGTATAATGACATTTCTCATTGGGAATTTGTAACTGTATGTGATATATCTTGGTTCTTATTTTTCCCCATTCTCCTGCCCTCCCTTCAACCCCTGTACCCCTCCATATTTACAAAGACTTTATGTTTTTTCCTTTTCTCATATTTTTTCCTTTCCCTTCCTTCCTTTCCCCTATGCTCCCACTTTCTCTTCCCCTTTGGACCTTTTCTTCCTATTTCACATTTTCTGTTATACATTTTGATTTTCATTTACACTTTTAGCTTCTCACACCAGAGAAACTATTCAGTATTTACATGTGTGTCCTATTTATTTCACTTGAGTATGGACTCATTGTACATCTATTTAGCTATAAATGTCTCTAGTTTATCATTTTTTATGGCTGAGTAGTACTCCATTTTAATAACAAACCCACATCTTCAGGCCAAGGATTTAGCTCAGTTGTTCTGCCGCTTGCCTTGTAAGCACAAGGTCCCGAGTTCGATTCCTGGTACAAACAAAACAAAACAATCCACTGAAAAACCAAAAAAACAAAACGAAACAAGACAACAACAAAAACACGTCTTTATCTAGTCACCAGTTGATAATGTCATGAGTACCATATAGGAACCTATGTAGTCCACAGAAAAAAAGGGCTTTCAAGGAAACTTATCTGGATGTGAGAACAGATGGGGTAGGCTGGAATATCTTTATTAGGTGTTTTGCTTGGTGATCAGTAATTGAACCTATTTGAACTACCAAAGTGTATATACTTAAATAAGTGATGGGGTGATTTCATCTTGATGTAATTTGCTTTTTTCAAGTCTTTCAGTGAACACATGCTGACAAGTATATTGACTTTACTTTTCAGGAATCCAGTTCTCCTGGGGTCCCTTTTTGCTATTTTGTCAACGATTTGTACGCTGTCAGTAACATTCAGTATGACTCACAGGGGGCCAGCGCTGACATCTCCTTAAAGTCTTCTCTTTACACCAACACCTTCCCCTCCAGCCCTGTGAATCCCCTCCGCCTGCAAGTGACCTACCATAAGGATGAAATGCTGCAGTTTAAGGTAAATTCTGCACAAGTATCATATACATTGACATAGTTTGACATTATCTAACATTGTCCAAGTGTTGTATATACCTCTCTTTCATATCCCAAGGATGAGATTTTCTGAAAACAATAAGTGGGCTTGTTTAATTCATATCCCTAGTTGAGTATCAAACAGAAATATAATAAGCACTCAGATAAATCATCAATTTAAATATAGTTTTCATAAAAGACATTTTTTTAATCAAATGGAATTCCTGTTTCAGGAAGTATTTTTGTAAATTCCAAAAAGTTTCCAGGGGGTGAAGGGAGGGCAGGGACAAGAGGAAAAAATGAGAACCAAGACCTGTCATGTAAAGGTACAAGCTCCCAATGATGAATATAACTGTATTGTATACCTAAAATGTACCAATAAACTCAATGAGGAAAAATCAAACAAACAAACAAAAAGTTTCTAAGTACTCACATACACCCATATATACACATACAAGGTAATACACAATATGTTCAAAATACTACACTAATTTCAAAATGACTTTTCCCATTAGCACCAATATAAAGTGAATATGTTTCCAGAATAGAAGCCTTAAAAATGAGATAGAACAGAATCATCTTCACACTTTTAAATTTGACATTATTTCTTGATATACTAATTAAAATTTAGAATAATCTTAAAAGACACAAACATATAGTACCCAGACTCATTGTCAGAGGTATGAAGGTTATACTAAGTGTACCAATTTCAGTACTGTCACTGCCTAAAATGTTTTTAAATGACAAATAAGAAGAATATATCTTTAGGTTGTACAGCACAATGTTACAGTACATTCACACATTATGATCTGTGAAACTCAGGATACTGAGATTATCATCTCAATCATCTAACATTTATTTGTGATGAGAACATTCAAAATCTTACTATGTTGAGTTTTGACACAATATTGTTAACTACAGTATAGTCATCCTTTATGTAATAGAATAGCAGAACCTTTTCTTCCATCTATAGCCTCACCCAAAATGAATTTCTTCTCCTTAGATTTATGACCCCAACAACAATCGCTATGAGGTCCCAATCCCACTGAACACACCCAGGGTTCCTTCCAGCACCTCCCAGAATCGACTCTATGATGTCCTCATTAAGGAGAATCCTTTGGGGATTGTGATTCGCCGGAAGAGTACAGGTGCTGTAATGTAAGTGGCTTCTAGTCTGTCTGGAATTGCTGGTCACCTACATTTTCCTTGCCAGTCCATTGTGTACTCTGGTGTGGAATTGCTAGTTACCTATACTTTGTCAGGCATTGTCTTGGATATACCCCGGCTCAAAGCATGACATTGTTCATTTTCAAATCCATGAATAAGTTATTTTTCAGGTCTGTTATGGAAAATCTTTTGCACCCTGAGAAAGAGTTGATGTATTTTTGTGTTCCTGGGAGTTCTTCCAGTCAAAGTTTCTTGCGTGCCTTCTCTATTTGAGTAATATTCTAGACACTGTGATTATAGACAGATGAAATCTCTCTTTTCATGACAACAAAGATAATTTGCAATATATGTGAAGCAGGTGATATATTGATAATTGCTGGTATGAGTCATGAGTCAGATTTTTGTTACTGACACTCAATATTCCACACATACAATTTAATGGAAGAGAGGTTTAATTTGGGTTATAGTTTTAGAGGATTTAATTCATGGGAAGCTGGCTCTAAGGCAGAAACCTCATAGTGAAAGGTTAGGTTATGGTGACTGGAAGGAAGAACAGGCCAAAAGTGCCAAAAAGAAAAAGGGATCATAGATAGGACCAAAATTATTGCTTTCATGACCCACCCAGATACATCCAAAAGTGAGATTCATTCATCTGCTAGGTATCCAATCAAATTGCCATTTTAAGAGTCATGATCACACTGCTTTGTTTGAAAAATATCAGAGTAATGAAGTATATGGTAGGTTACTGGTTTTAAGGCTGTGGTTAGAGTAGTTACCTCCAAATGAAATAGGACATTTGGATATGGGAAAGGAGCCACCCATCTTGAGTTCTGGGGAAAGAAAGAATTTTTCAGATATACGGAAAACCTTGACCTGACGAGGAACAGAAAATGATTGTGGTACATAAGGAAGTAAATTGGGGGGATGAATCTGGGATGTAAGGTGGCTGCTGATCAGATGCAGTTTTGAGGGCTTCTTAAGGTGTTTTTATGAGAAGCCACTGAAGGATTTCAGAGGTGTGACATGATGTGAGGTTCTCTGCATGCATGAGGGCAGTGGATCATTGGGGAGCAAGAGGGGAAGGCAGGCCTGGCATGGTGCATGGCCGATGAGATGGAGGGGAGTGACTGGATTGGTGGTGTGGAGGGCACAGAGAAAGGAGATAGTGAGTTAGAGAATTAGCAGAAGGAAGGCTGACTCCTGGGCTTGTAGCAAGGATTTCTGTGATTATTTTAGGCAAGTACATAGATTGTGTGGTTTTTTTTGGGAGATGAACAAGATCTAGCTGTGGGAGGAAATACAAAACTCCACTTTTACTAGAAAGTCAGGTTGTTGAAGCTAATAGGAAAGCTAAAGTTCTTCCCAAATCTACTTTTGCCCTTCTCAGTTGGGACTCACAGCTCCTGGGCTTCACCTTCAATGACATGTTCCTCCGCATCTCCACCCGCCTGCCCTCCTCCTACATCTATGGTTTTGGGGAAACGGAACACAGAACCTTTAGGCAAGACCTGAACTGGAACACATGGGGCATGTTTTCCAGAGACCAGCCCCCTGGGGTAAGTACACAGTGAGTGGGATTTGCCTTTCTTTGTCTTTCACATATGTGTTGTGTGTACTTTGCTCTTTGTCTTCCCAGGCTCAGCATGGCTGTGCACTTAGGGAAATTAGCCCATTGTTGGATGGCTTTGTTTCTCATGGCTTAATTTATTTCTCAGAGAAGACAAAGACCCATCTTAATAAACATATTTGTTAAAAGTTTTAATGAGTCACAATGTATTCTAACCCCATTTCCCTTCTCCCTCATGGTTTTCAGTACAAGATGAATTCGTATGGTGTCCACCCCTACTACATGGGACTCGAGGAGGACGGCAGTGCCCACAGTGTGCTCCTGCTGAACAGCAATGCCATGGGTAGGATGCTGCCAGTGCTCTTTTTATTTTTTGTGTCAACATTATTTACTTGAGGGTGGCAATCAAATAAGAAGAAAGAAATATAATCCATACGAGTTAATAGTATTTATCACTGTCAGTCTTCTGTTTTTGATAAGGTACAATAGTTAAATTAGGTGTCCTTATTGGGGAAAGCTTAATGAAGTATACATGGAAAGAATACTCTTTCTGCAAATTCTTGTGAGTCTTACGTTATTCTTAAATGAAGTTATGATGGTAATTTTAGAGAAGCAGAATGACAAAATGGATAATATTGCAGCGTGGAGAACTCCAAAGCAAAATCATCGAGGGAGGGGATTCCCAGTCTTTCCATTATTTTCTTCCAGCCTGTGGGTAAAGCACAGAATATCTGTGCTTGATATGCTAAAATGAAAGAGACACAAGGCACTGGTTTTAGGACTAATTTCTTCCCATGAAGGTCCAGCTTGGTTAGCACTTTCCTATCTTTTCAGATGTGACTTTCCAGCCCATGCCTGCCCTGACATACCGCACCACAGGGGGAATTCTGGACTTTTATGTGTTCTTGGGCCCAACTCCAGAGCTTGTTACTCAGCAGTACACTGAGGTAGGAGAGAATGCATTTGCCTATTAAGTATTGATACAGCCTATTCTGTGTTCTAAAACCTGCATTCATTAGCATAAATCTCAGTTGATAGCAGCGATTGTTGTCCTTTGTACAGGCATGTTAAAGTATAATGTGCAATAAGTAAATTTCAATAACCATTATATCCAAGGCCTAAATACTTCAGAATAATAGAATAATCATGGTACCAGTGATGGAGGTGAGGATAATGGTAGTAAGGGTAGTGATGTTGGTAGTAATGATGGTGGGAACAGGGAATATAGTGCTGATAGCAAGGTAATAGTGTTGATGGGAGTAGTTGTATGGGTTGTGAGGATAGCCATGGAGGGGGCAATAGTGACATTGATGATGGTGGTGGATGATGATGGGAGTAATAATGGTTATTTTGTTGGTATAGGTTGCAATAGAGCAGTGGTGATAGTGGTGGTAGAGGTGATGATAATGGTGTTGGTGATGCTGGTGGTGGTAATGGTTAAAATTGGAGCAATGGCGATGATGATAGTGTTGTTGGTGGTGATGTTGGTAGTCATGATAATGAGGCTGAGTAAGGTATTGTGGGGTGGTTGTGGTCATAAGGTTAGCTATGGTGGTGGATGTGATGGTGTGGTTGGCTAGGCTGAGTGTGGTGATGATGACAGAGCTGATGCTGGTGGTGGTAGTGATGGTGGTGATGCTGGTGATGAGGGTGGTTATTGTGGGAGTTGTAGTGGTGATGACTGTGATGGTGACAATAATGGAAGTGATGATGGTGTCCAGTGTGGTGACGTGGGTACTCTTGTGGCAGCAAATACTTTTGTAATATTGCATATCACCTTTTAATTGCTGCACATCAGAGCACTTTATATACATTAACTCACTGGGTTTTCATTAAGACACTATGTGACAGATATTAGTATTATCTGTAGCTTATAGGTGAATAAACTAAAGCAAAAAGAATATATTTAACTTTGTTCAAGATCACACAGCTAGCAGGGTGTGAACCTGTGTGGAATCCCATTTATTTTGCCTCTGGGCTCTGTATTCTTAAGCAGTAAGATAGACCAATTCTAGGAATTAGTAAAAAACGGCAGATTTTCCAGATTCCCTAGAGGCACTCTGGCCTAGCAGGATGATTTCCACGTGTCTCAGAGGCTCTGCATACCCTCAGTTTATCTCTGGATTTGAATTTATTGATTGTCTACATTGGGAAACTGGAAAAACATTCTTATTACTTCTTGTAAAACTTCAATGTGGCTTCCTCTTCAAGGACTAATATTTTTTTCTGTCTATTTTCTAGATGATTGGTCGACCTGTTATGGTGCCTTATTGGGCCCTGGGGTTCCAGCTGTGTCGCTATGGATATGAGAATGATGCTGAGATCGCCAGCCTGTATGATGATATGGTGGCTGCCCAGATCCCCTATGTATGTATAGATTGTGTGTATTAGCTCCATGATCTTGTAGCTAACTCAGGTGCCTCACTGTCTGGATTCCGATTTTGGAGTTTTGTGAAGTTCAACCAAGACACAAAGTGCTTTCTCATCTGATGTCACACCAAGCCTCAGCCCAGCACATTAATGCACATGGGGCCGTGCTCCCAGGTCACATCTTATAGGGAAGGTGGTCAAAGTCTCAGAATGAGGAGATGGAGCTCTTTCTGCCATATCATGCTTCCCTTCTTTTCTTCAAGGCATGAGATCATAAAGCCCTTTGTTCTAGAAAAGAAAAGATCCATAAATAGTAGTTTTTCCTGATTAAAAAGTTAAGCCAAATGCAGTTAGATCATTACATGTGGAGATGTGTCCTAGGTTTCAGCACCTGGTGGCTACAGCACAATGTTCCATCTGCTTGGAGTCAGTCACAGGCTGAATATGGGGATCTTGGGCTGGGTTTCAAGAGGCATACACATGGAAAAGAACTCTGTGCTTAATGTGACTACCAGAAAGGTCCAATAATCAGAATTAATCAACAGACAAATTTTGTATTCTGTGTACTATTGTATATGAAACAATTACTCCTACAATATATCATTAGTAAGAAAGCTATGTCTGATTAACACCAGGTTTGGCATTCCAAATAAATCAGAAGGTTTAGTTTTTCTTTTTTTGTAATATATTTACCATATGTTTTGAATCAGGACCTCATAGTTTGTGTTATTTTTTTTTTTAAACATTAACCATTGAAACCATGGGCAGCTTCCTGGGCAGGTCCCTACAGTCACTCCTTATTTCTGTAGTTCACAAAGCACTTTTTCATCTGGTGATTTACTTTCCTCAAAAAACCCTTGAAGACATTCATTGTATCCTAATTTGGTCTTTTTACTGACTTAGATTTTTCATGTTTGTGTATAACTATTTTTTAAAATAAGACGAATTTCCTAGGATCCATGTCAAACAAATACCAGAATTGGGATATGAAAGAGTTGAAAAGAAACCTTTTTTTTTTTTTCATTGAGTTTATTGGTACATTTTAGGTAGACAGTACAGTTACATTCATTATTGGGATCTTATACCTTTGCATGACAGGTCTTGGTTCTCATTTTTTCCCCTTGTTCCTGCCCTCCCTTCACCCTCTCCTCCCCTTCCCTCCCCATTTACAAACATTTTATTTCTACTTTTTTATTTTCTCCTATTTTTTTTCCTTTCCCTTATTACCTTTCCCACTTTCCCTACACCTTTAGCCCATTTCTTCCTATTTCACTTTGTCAATTATCTCATTAGGACCTTATGTACTGTTACAGTTTATTCACACCAGAGAAACTATTAAGTATTTACACATGTGTGACTTATTTCACTTGGGAGTATATCCTCAATATGTATCCATTTTCCTATGAATGAATCTAATTTCTCATTCTTTGTGGCTGAGTAGTAGTTCATTTTAAAGAAAAACCACATCTTCTTTATCCAGTTTCCAACTAATGGGCAAATGGGCTGTTTCCAAGTTTTAGCTATTACAAACTGTGCTGCTATAAACATAGGTGTGCATATATCACTGTGATATGATTCTTTTAATTCTTTTGGAAAGATACCTGGCAGAGGGATGCCTGGGTCAAATGTAACCTCTAGTCCCAGCTCTTTGAGGTATCTCCATATTGGAAAGAAACCTTCTAATTGCACCAGTGGTATTGGACAGGTGTTTCCCTTCTGGAAGTGGATTGCACCACCCTCTTCAGTCCCTCGGTTCCCTCTGTCCTCCTACAGGATGTGCAGTACTCAGACATCGACTACATGGAGCGGCAGCTGGACTTCACCCTCAGCTCCAAGTTTTCTGGGTTTCCAGCTCTGATCAATCGCATGAAGGCCGATGGGATGCGGGTCATCCTCATTCTGGTTAGTGCTTATGGGAATGTATGGAGCCTGTTAGAGCACTGGATAGATTTTGCTAAAGAGTATGTTGTGCTGTATATAATTCCATATTATGAGCACAGTACATGAAGGCACCGTTAAAAAAAAAAAAGTGCCCTGCCCGGGATTAATAGAAACTGTACAATTTGAGTGAAGGCAAATGTCCCCCTCTTGTCCAAGTTTTCTTTTATGGGGGGCATCTTGGCATTTCCTGGCTGTGGTTTTCCCACCTGACTTGTGCTTTGCTTTTAGGACCCAGCCATTTCTGGCAATGAGACCCAGCCCTACCCTGCCTTCACTCGAGGGATGGAAGATGACATCTTCATCAAGTACCCAAATGATGGAGGCATTGTCTGGGGGAAGGTATGATCCAAGGGGTGATCCACCAATATCCAGCCTGGGAGAACCTCTTGCACACTGTTGGCATGTTTGTGTATTTTGTTCATGGGCCTGTTCTAGTACTTCTCATTTTTTAATCAACATTGATAGTGTGTGGATGTGTGGATGCAGCTAAGGAGTTTTGTGGAATCTACCGTTCTCTAAATGAATCCTACATGATCATCAAAATATTATTATCCCTTTAGGAATAATTTCTATTTTCTTGAAAAGTGGTATATATGTTAAATTGTGTGTTACATTGGTGTTGATCATTTGTTTCTCCCCAGGTCTGGCCTGATTATCCTGATATTGTTGTTAACAACTCTCTTGACTGGGAGAGTCAAGTGGAGGTAAATGTTCTTTGTTGATGTTGGGTGAGGTCATGGTTGGAATGAAGGAGCAGCCATACCATACCCAGAGTACCTGACATGCCATACATTGTGATGGAGAGGGAGAAACACCTAGATATGGCACAGAGGCATGGCATGACATAGGCCTATTGAGTGAGAAACCATTAAGGAAATGTGTTCTCTGTGTCAGTCTGTGTGCTGACTACTTTATATATAGCAATATTTTCCTGCCAGTGGGGGTTCAGATGTTATTCTGCTTGGGATTTAAGACTCAGAGAGGTTAATTTTTTTCTCTATAGTTTTAGGTGACACAATAATGATTTCAATCCCAAAGCTGTCAAATGCCTAAGACAAATGGAATTTCCTTGGCAGATACCTACTTTTCTTAATTTAGTATACTTCCTATTATGGTTATGCTTGCTATCTGGCTTATTCTTTTCAAATAGAGTTGACAATGTTTGTCTTTAGTGATTGAGTCTCTTTCTGTGTATTTCTTTTTTCCTTTTTGCATGGACAGGCTTCTATATCTTTCACTTATGAATCCTGTCCAACTTTCTTCTCATCCATACTAGGCTCTCTTAACCTCACTTTTACTTCTGCTTCCAGCTTTATGGTAAAATTTTCTTTCTCATGGGAACTGTTCACTAGTCCATGTCTTTGAACCTCAATTCTTCATAGCTTCACTAAGCACTTGTTGCCTGAATGAACACATGGTTCCTTACTGATCTAGAAGCTTCAGCACCATTCTTTAGATATGATATATACTCAGTGAACTGATACAGTCTGTCTGCTTTGTTACCCATTGTTCTGATGAAACCTGTGAGCAGGGATCACTGGGTGGGGGGTGGGGACTCTCGGGAAGTAAGTACCTTGGCTTGTCCTCGTAAGCTCTTCCTCAACAATGATTATTCTGTCTTCCTGGGAAGTATAGCAGGGCATATATACCCTGTGCAGCTTCCATAGATGATCTAGGATATAAAATAATATAGGCCTGTTTGCCAGGATCAGGCCAAGCACAAAGAGAATAAGAAACTGGTCTGTGTGTACTTAGCAGAACAGTATCTGTTATACTGTCTAGGAACTCTATCAAGATCAAGGATTGATAGAAAAATAGTAATTCAAGTATGAGAAACTCAAAACCCAGGACAGACTCCCCTTTTGATAGGAGTTAGAGCAAATACTCATGCCTTATCCAGATGAACTCATTTTCATGGAAGTGTTGAGTCCTAGAGAGAGGAAAGGCATCAGACAGACTTTAAATAATAGGGACCCAGGATTCAGGCTAGGGACAGCTGCTATAGAGCAGTGAGAATAGACAGCACTGTAAGCCAGTGATGCACTGTAGCCTTGTGTCGGTCTCATAATTCCAGGATCCCAGTTGGCAGTGGAAGCACTCTAGATGCAAGAGAGATACCTATGCTCGGAACCAGGCTGCCTGGATGTTGGACTGTGTGTCTTTATTTTTGATAGCACATGCAGTAGGAAAAAACCAACACATGGACTGGGCCAGGTTTCCCAGATGGTGGGAGTGCTTCAGACTCAGTTCAAGGTTTTCCTTTTGTCTTGTTTAGAAGTCATCTCTGTCTCTGTCTCTCTCCTTCTTTGTCTGTGTTTGTGTCTTTGTCTCTCTGTTTCTATCTCCATCTTTGTGTCTTTCTCTCTTTCTCTACCTTAACTCTCTGTCAAATTTTCTCTCTTTCTCATAAGAATTCAAAAGAAAAAAAAAGAATTCAAGAGAGGAGGCATGGGGCCAATCTTTTCCATCACTTCTCATGGAGTATCACTTGATGTTTGGAGGACCACATGTACACAGGAACCTGTGAACCACAGTCAGGGACACAGGCTCCTTAACTTCTATATTTTTATGTTCATAGAGGGGTTGCTTCATTTATGATGGGAATGATGACTCACTTATGAGACATATAGTTCTTCAACCATTAGGGTCAAAGTAACCCTGATCATGAGAATATTTTGGAGTCTGTGGAGCAATGTTGGTTACCATAGTGACTGGGTACAATATGTGACATTTGGTGCGTGGTGACCAGGGATACATGTACTCTCATCATAGGGGTATTTCCACTAAGAATTCTGTTGCTCCAAATGACAGTGGTGACTTAGATGAGAAAAATTTTACGTGGGAGACATAATCTGTTATGTATCCTCATAGGGATTCTGAGTACATAGAATAATTATAAGTATTTATGTTACAAATCCCACTTGAGGAAGCTGGAGAGGATGAGTTTCCTGACGTCAAGGTCTGGCATTGCTGAGAGTAATGTAAAACAAACAACCGGCTGTCCAATAAGCCTGTGGAAAGCAAATTCCTGAGTGTAAACTTGGAGTTTTAATTCCAGAATTCTTTGTTGGGGGTCCAAGAGCTGCATTTGGTGGCATGCAGTGGATGGTTTTACATAATCATGGATCTAGTCATGCATGTGGCCAGTCACTGTAGAACTGTCAGGGTTAGTGAAAGCAGAAGCAATAAGGCAAGAGTCAAACTCAGAGAGGCCAAGACACCATGGAGAATGGCAGGTCATTTTAAATTTCACTAGGGAGAGGTTATCAGAGCAGAATTTAGGGAAGTCAACAAAACATGGTTGGTTTAATTTCCAACTTGTATCTCACAAAGGATATGATCTGACTCTGACATGGTTAATAATGACTATTTATACTATTCCTCCATTCTTTCACCCATTTCATTGTTTTTGACCTTGTCTGAGTGGACCTCTCTCTTTCTAGTAAATATTTTCTTAGCCTAGTTCTAGTTCTGTGCTTTTTCTCCCAATTCCTAACAAAAGGCACCCCAAGATTCCCAGTAATGCTATAGCCTGTCCTCTCACTCTTCCCTGAGCTAGATCTATGAAAACAGAACCATTTCTCATTCCTTCTCTACGTTCCTGTTAACGTTTTTTATCTAGACACCTACGTTTCTTCTTGTCTCTTGTTGTATGGAATTCCTCTGACCAAGTTCTCTTCTGGTGCCCTAGCTATAGATAGATACTTGATAGATATTTGCTGCTTCTAAGAGTTGTGCATACACAATTAAACTTTGTTTGTTATTATTAATTTATGATTATGTTAGGTTTGAAGCTAAGTACTGTTAGAAATGTAAACACCAATCAGAAGAATATAAAACAAAATCCTTGCTCTTAAAAAGCTTGCAATGTATTAAATGATACTGTGAATCCACTTTTCATGTTAAAGACACTGCTTTTGTTCATTTTTTTTAGCAGTACTAGAGATTAAACCCAGAGCATGCTAAGCCAAATGAATAGTCTTTCTTTTTTCCCCCTTTCCATTCCTTTTCTTCTTTTTTTAAAATTAATTTTGAAATAGGGCTTCATTAAGTTACTTTGGCTGGTCTAGAATTTGTGATCTTTCTTACACAGCTTCCTGGGTAGCTGGGTTTATAGGTGTGTGTCACTGTGCCTAGGTAAGAAATTACTTTTATTCTTTGAGGGAAGATGAGAGAGAAAGAGGTGGAAACTTCCCCCTGAAGTCCTCATACTTTACATTACACACAGTTTCATTTTTCACTGGTTTTGAAACCATAGGAAACAAAAATGCATACCAATCTACTCTCATGGTATGTAATCTTCCCCCTCCCCTCATTTAGTGATAATGTCATTAGATGTTTCTATCCTACTGTAGTACTGACTGCCATCTACCTTGGCTCCTGCCTTGTTTTTGAAGAGAGCTTAGGAAAAGTCAGGGAACAGATTGCAGTTTGAGCATGAAAAACATGAGATAGTGAGTTCAGGATGTTGTTACCATAGATGTTGACAGTCATGGATGTCTGTCAAATGCCAAGAAAGGTGTGCAATTTATGGTTATTTCTCTTCTTTGATTTCAACGATTTTTCTTTCCTTTTTTTTGTTTTTGTTTTTTGTTTTTTTTTTGGCTCAATGATTTTTCTAATAAACCAAGAATATTATGTAGCTTCTATTCAGTCTATCATTATCTACTGTTATGGAGTACATGTCTTTGCATGAGTTAAGCTCTTAGCATGTTTCTATTTGCTGTCTAATATATTTGTTTGAGACAAATGAGTTATGTTTTGCTTTTATAGGAATATCGAGCTTATACGGCCTTCCCAGACTTTTTCCGTAATTCAACTGTCCTATGGTGGAAGAGGGAAATTGAAGAGCTCTACAGCAATCCACAGAATCCAGAGAAGAGCTTGAAATTTGATGGCATATGGATTGTAAGTGTGTGCAGATGTCCATGTATCCATAGGGATAGGTGTGTGTGTATTTGTCTTTGTGTCTTACTATGTGGATTATTGATTTCTGGTCAAAAGGCCAATAAGAGTTATCCAAGAATACTTTGAATACATTAAAACACATTCTTCCAATTAGAAAGGGAACAGACCTTTCACCCCTCAAACCTTACACCTTGTTTGCTTGCTGTCAAACCTCCTGAGCCATTACTAGGAAATTCTTGTAGCTTTCCTTACCCTGATGGAGAATTTAAAAAAAACTCTTTGACCAATCACCCTGGAGGGGTTAATTAAACTTTCTAGTCAGTTCTCACTAGAATTTGATAACCCTCCCTGGGCAATCATCCATAGAGATTACTAGATGTTGAACATTTTTTCACTACCTCTTTGTCTCTGAAAGGGCAAGACATAATTATCTTTAAAATTAAACTATGTCTGTGTTTGAAATTTCTAGGATATGAATGAGCCATCCAGCTTTGTGAATGGAGCTGTCCCTTCAGGATGCACAGATGCAACTTTGAACCATCCTCCCTACATGCCATGTAAGGACCCTGGGCCTCCCTTAGCTGTGGATCCCTGGTTAAGAGCCCAGTGTCCAGGGGTTTGCACTGACCACTAATGGCATGTCCTCCTCACTGCTGAAGTTTATTAGGCAACAGATAAAAGGCATTCAAACATTTTACTCAATAGGGTTGCTGCATTTATTGTGTACCTTTCAAGAAAATCTAATTATTATGAAAGCACTCAGGATAAAGTGTCTTGAAAGGCTTTTCATAGCTAG